AATATTGCGTTCCACAAGATTTTTTATGGAAAATATTGCGTTCCACAAGATTTTCTATGGAAAATATTGCGTTCCACAAGATTTTCTATGGAAAATATTGCGTTCCACAAGATTTTTTATGGAAAATATTGCGTTCCACAAGATTTTCTATGGAAAATATTGCGTTCCACAAGATTTTCTATGGAAAATATTGCGTTCCACAAGATTTTCTATGGAAAATATTGCGTTCCACAACATTTTCTATTGAAAATATTGCGTTCCACAAGCTTTTCTATTGAAAAATATTACATTCCACAAGCTTTTCTATTGAAAATATTGCATTCCACAAGATTTACTATTGAAAATATTGCACTCCACAAGATTTTCTATTGAAAATATTGCGTTCCACAAGATTTTCTATTGAAAACATTGCATTCCACAAGATTTTCTATTGAAAATATTGCATTCCACAAGATTTTCTATTGAAAATATTGCATTCCACAAAGTTTTCTATAGAAAATATTGCATTCCACAAAGTTTTCTATAGAAAATATTGCGTTCCACAAGATTTTCTATAGAAAATACATTGCGTTCCACAAGATTTTCTATTGAAAACATTGCGTTCCACAAGATTTTCTATTGGAAACATTGCGTTCCACAATATGTTCTATTGAAAATATTGCATTCCACGAGATTTTCTATTGAAAATATTGCATTCCACATAGTTTTCTATAAAAAATATTATGTTCCACAAAGTTTTCTATAAAAAATATTATGTTCCACAAAGTTTTCTATAAAAAATATTATGTTCCACAAAGTTTTCTATAGAAAATATTATGTTCCACAAGATTTTCTATTGAAAATATTGTGTTAAACAAGATTTTCTATTGAAAATATTGTGTTCCACAAGATTTTCTATTGAAAATATTGTGTTCAACAAAAAATGTACGATCCACAAAATTTTCTATAGAAAATATTGCGTTCCACAAGATTTTTAATCGAAAATATTGCGTTCCACAAGATTTTCTATTGAAAACATTGCGTTCCACAAGATTTTCTATTGAAAACATTGCGTTCCACAAGATTTTCTATTGAAAATATTGCATTCCACAAGATTTTCTATTGAAAATATTGCATTCCACAAAGTTTTCTATAAAAAATATTATGTTCCACAAAGTTTTCTATAGAAAATATTATGTTCCACAAGATTTTCTATTGAAAATATTGTGTTCCACAAGATTTTCTATTGAAAATATTGCGTTCCACAAAATTTTCTATTGAAAATATTGCGTTCCACAACATTTTCTATTGACAATATTGCATTCCACAACATTTTCTACTGAAAATATTACGTTTCACAACGTGTTCAATTGAAAATATCGCGTTCCACAACATTTTCTATTGAAAATAATGCGTTCCACAGGATTTTTCCATTATTTGTATTTATGTGTGTTCTTTTTGTTTTTATTTTTTTTTGTCCACGCCAAATGACAACTCGGTAGTAGGGGGAACTACATTCGAAATTTGTTTTTTTTTTTTCAAAAGTAATTAATATTCCTAATGCGTTTAAGCATGACCGACGACGTCTGGCCGTCTCTGTCTCTCTCCCGATATCTTCATTAATCCATCGAACACTCCTAATTTAATAAATTAATTTATTGGCTTTTTAATGTTTATTTGTTTACAAATTATGTGTCTTAATTATGCCATTATTGTTATTCAATTAAATTGATACGCAGAATAAATATTTGAAAAGCCAAGGGAATGCGGGAGAAGCGAAAGAATCCTCCAATGAGTGAGTCAGTCATTCGGCAGTAGTCAATTCAATGAACTTCTTCTTCCTCCTCCTTCCTAAGTCGGTCACATTTTATGCTTTATTTCAATAATATTTGACGTAGAACTGTCATTTATGTGTTCTTTGTTTTTGTTGTTGTTCTGGTTTTTGTTTTATGTCGATAAGATAAGGCCATCAATCAATTAGCTTTTTAATTTACATACGCATGAGTGGAGCGTGACAACTCAGCCCCATCGTCGGCTGCATGGAATCCAATTGACCAGTTGTGAGTGTTAGTGTGTGTGTGTGTGTATTCGATTGTAGTCGATTGTTTTTTCAAATGAAGTTTAGTCGTTGCCATTCACATCGGCGACAGGTTATACACTTCACGCTCTAATCAAATTTCTAATTACGGTTGAATTTATGAACCGTTTTAATAAAAATTTTAATCGTTATTTTTATTCACATAAATACGGAGGTAATTGGAAATAATTAAAAAAAGTGGTTGCTAACGTGTCATATGGGAGGAAAGAAGAGAGGCGGGAAACAATATTGTGGAACCCATTTTTCGATAGAGAATGTTGTGGAACATAATATTTTCGATATAAAATGCAGTGGAAGGTAATATTTTCCATAGAAAAAATTGTGGAACGCAATATTTTTCTGAGAAAATTTTGTGGAACGCAATATTTTTCTGAGAAAATTTTGTGGAATGCAATATTTTCAATAGAAAGTGTTGTGGAACATAATATTTTCCATAGAAAATCTTGTGGAATGTAATATTTTCTATAGAAAATCTTGTGGAACGTAATATTTTCTATAGAAAATCTTGTGGAACGCAATATTTTCTATGCAAAATCTTGTGGAACGCAATATTTTCTATAGAAAATCTTGTGGAACGTAATATTTTTTATAGAAAATGTTGTGAAACGTAATATTTTCCATAGAAATTCTAGTGGATCGTAATATTTTCCATAGAAAATCTTGTGGAACGCAATATTTTCTATGGAAAATCTTGTGGAACGCAATATTTTCTATGCAAAATCTTGTGGAACGCAATATTTTCTATAGAAAATCTTGTGGAACGTAATATTTTTTATAGAAAATGTTGTGAAACGTAATATTTTCCATAGAAATTCTAGTGGATCGTAATATTTTCTATAGAAAATATTGTGGAACGCAATATTTTCTCTAGAAAATGTTGTGGAAATATTTTCTCTAGAAAATCGTGTGGAACGCAATATTTGCTATAGAAAATTTTGTGGAACGCATTATTTTCTATAGAAAATCTTGTGGATCGTAATATTCTCCATAGAAAATATTGTGGATCGTAACATTCTCAATAGAAAATATTGTGGATCGTAATATTCTCCATAGAAAATATTGTGGATCGTAATATTTTCGATACAAAATCTTGTGGATCGTAATATTTTTTATAGAAAATGTTGTGGAATGCAATATTTTCAGTAGAAAATCTTGTGGAACACAATGTTTTCAATACAAAATCTTGTGGAACACATTATTTTCCAGAGAAAATCTTGTGGAACGCAATATTTTCCATAGAAAATCTTGTGGAACGTAATATTTTCTATAGAAAATCTTGTGGAACGTAATATTTTCTATGGAAAATATTGTGGATCGTAATATTTTCTATAGGACATTTAGTGGATCAAAATATTTTCTATAGAAAATATTGTGGATCGTAATATTTTCCATAGAAAATCTTGTGGATCGTAATATTTTCGATACAAAAATCTTGTGGATCGTAATATTTTTCTATAGAAAAATCTTGTGGAACGCAATATTTTCTATAGAAAATCTTGTGGAACACAATGTTTTCAATACAAAATCTTGTGGAACACATTATTTTCCAGAGAAAATCTTGTGGAACACATTATTTTCCAGAGAAAATCTTGTGGAACGCAATATTTTCCAGAGAAAATCTTGTGGAACACATTATTTTCCAGAGAAAATCTTGTGGAACGCAATATTTTCCAGAGAAAATCTTGCAGAACGTAATATTTTCTATAGAAAATCTTGTGGAACGTAATATTTTCCAGAGAAAATCTTGCGGAACTTAATATTTTCTATAGAAAATCTTGTGGAACGTAATATTTTCTATGGAAAATATTGTGGAACGTAATATTTTCTGTAGAAAATCTTGTGGATCGTAATATTTTCAATAGAAAATCTTGTGTATCGTAATATTTTCTAGAGAAAATATTGCGGATCGTAATATTTTCTATAGAAAATATTGTGGATCGTAATATTCTCCAGAGAAAATTTTGTGGATCGTAATATTCTCTAGAGAAAGATTTGTGGAATGGTAATTTTTCCATACAAAATGTTGAAAATTTTGTGGAACGCATTGCTTCCGTTGTTACTGTCTTTATATCTCCGCTAATCCGCTTAAAACAATGTGGCTTTTTGTATATCTATAAATGGTTCTTTTGTTGATTATCTTGGATTTTTTAGCTTCTACTTTGCCCTTGCCTCGCTCCCTCCCTGCCCGCCTTGACCACATTGCTTCACATTAAGTAGAGATTATTTTTATTAAAATATACAACAAATAAGACAATTATTTGTGGAATATTGTTTTATTGTTGTTGTTGTTGTAAATATCTGGCGAGGTGAATCAACAATGGACTTTAAACCAACCAAGCCACTATGGCCGGTCGGTGGTCATCTACTGCCTGTGCCTCCATATCAATGAAATACAAATCTGTTTTCTGTTTTTAGTTCAATGCAGTGCAGGGATCAATGACAAGGGGCCCATACGGTGTTGGGGAGGAGGGGAGTTCGAACAGAATATGTTTATGATAATAAACATAATCTCTGGGGGCCGTCACCTCGGCACCCTTCCTTCTCGCATGGCTGTTGCTGATCACATACACAAATCATAATCTCGAAATTGTGCGAGTGGCGATTTGTCGTAGTTATTCTATTCTATTTTATTTTCTTCTTTTCCTCCATCTCCTCTACTTCTGTCTGTCTGTTATTGTTCTTGTTGTTGGTTTTTCGTTTACAATACAATTTATGCTGATTAAATTTATTTATATTTCAATTAAGCCGTTTTGAGAATCTACAACAAACAAACAGTACAAAGCGGATCTCGGGAACCATAGAAAATTTCTGAATTGAAAATTTTTTCCCATTCAATTTTGAAAATAAGTAAAGATTAACAGTGAATTTCCTTTCTTGGGAGCAGCAATGAAAATTGAAATATTTTTCCCGTCTTTTTTTGCAGAGATCCAAGTAAGACCAAGCTTGAAATCCATCAGGAAGCTGCATTTATCTCCACCGCCCTCTGCGCGACTGCCTGCCTGCCTGCTGCAACCCAGACGACAATGTTCCTCCACCTCATCCAACCACTTGTCTCAAGCATTTGCCAACACTAAAAGAACGAAGTAATCTCAAACAAACAACAACAACACAAAATAATGGATGGTTCACATCTAGGTGGCAGCAGTCATCAATTAGCCAAAGATCAATTGTTGCCCTTGCAACCATTGGCCCCTCTGCATCATCATCATCATCATCACAATCCATTGGCATCAGCCTCGACATCGGCCTCACAATTACTGTCGCAATCGAGAACCGGAAGTGTACTGCTATTACGCACCAGTCGATCTCCATCGGCCACACGCAGTGCCGAGCCAAGTAAGTAGCCAGATCTCCTCATGTAGCTGTCCCATACTTCCTTCCCCTCTTTCTCTCTCTCCCTCCTTCTGAGTTTCTCTTGGAGACTCAATTAAAAAATGTAGTATTTTTTTATTATTTCGAATAATTATAGTTGGAATTTGTAGCTGTATCTAGAGTTGAATAATAAATTCTTTTTATTATTGTAATTTGTAGTTGGTTGGTTGGTGGTTAGCTTTAAATGTTTTCTCACCCCTCACCTCACTTCTCTCATATCTCGAGATTCGATGTCAATGCAGTGTCATTATTTGTCATTCATTGTTTTTGGTTTCTTTTGTAAAAATGTTAATATTTATTTATTCTTATGTTCTACTGGGAAAACCGGGGTTGGATTGCAATTTTCCTATGGGAAAAGCTCCATTCAGCCCAGGCTGAATTGCAATTTTCCTATGGGAAAAGCTCCATTCAGCCAAGGCTGAATTGCAATTTTCCTATGGGAAAAGCTCCATTCAGCCAAGGCAGAATTGCAATTTTCCTATGGGAAAAGCTCCATTCAGCCTAGGCTGAATTGTAATTTTCCTATGGAGAACCTCATTCAGCTGAATTGGAGTTTTCCTATGGAAAACCTCATTGAAGTGAAGTTTTCTTATGGAAAACCTCATTCAGCCGGGCTGAATTGATGTTATCCTATGGAAAACCTCATTCAGTCGGGCTGAATTGAAGTTCTCCTATGGAAAACCTCATTCAGCCGGACTGAAATGAAGTTTTCCTATGGAAAACCTCATTCAGCCGGACTGAAATGAAGTTTTCCTATGGAAAACCTCATTCAGCCGGGCTGAAATGAAGTTTTTCTATGGAAAACCTCATTCAGACCGGGCTGAATAGGAGTTCTCCTATGCCCGATTTCCCTGTGTATATGTAAATGTCCTTGTAAATATTTTTGCATGCCTTGTGTCTATTTTTATTCATTATTGTTTTTTCCTACCTTCATAAATTATGTGTTTATCAATGTGTTTTTTTTTTCTTCTTTTCTGTTTTCTTTCTATCATTCGTCCTTCTGTTTTGTTTTATTTATCACCCACAGCTTCATAAAATTAACTATAAAAAGACAAGGACACCCACCACAGCAACAACAACAACAAGAACAACAACTAGTTGTGTATTTTTAATAAATTAATAGAAGATTTTCTTTGATCACGCACGCACACGCTCGCTCACCTTCTTAGGAATAAGAGTTTTATGAGACCAAGAAGAAGAGTAAGAGAAAAAAACCTTCTGCTCTCACTCACCAATTAAAAAAAGTACAGCTGTCTAAATCACCCACTGTCGTCATCAAGTAAACAAAACACAATTCATCACGCCGCTCTCTCTCTCTATTTTCTGTTGGAAAAAGTTCTTCTTTGTTTTCAAGTATCTGTTGTGTTTTGTCTCTCATCTCCGGAGGAGAGATATTTATTTGCTCTCATAACGTGTGAACGCTTTCTTTGTTCATCATCACCGTTCTTTTCTTTGGTATCAATTTTTACAACGATATTTGTGACTTTCTCGCTCTGGCTTTGTTTCTCTGTCTCTCTATTTTACTTGTTGTTTTGTATCGTTAAACCTCCTCTCGCTCTCTCTCACACGCCCACATTTTTTATATGTGCTTTATTTGTAAATTCACTCTCTTAGCTGACAAAACAAATTACTCTCTTTTGCCAAGAGAGCAATACTCTTAGAGCTTTACATTTCGCTTAGATAAGATCAGAGCAAACTCACACCTGAACAGCCAAAAAGCAAAGCAACATCAACAACAACAAAAAACAAAAAAAAAATATTGATTTTCATTTCTGAAACGATACAAAAAAAAAAAAAAATACAAAACCAAACAAATTCAAACGGCTACAATTTCGATCTTAAAATCCTTTCTTTGAGAGCCCAAAAAAAAAAAAAACAAATTCTAACCTAAAATCAAAAAACCCAACAAACATTTTCGCATGAATACAACAACAGTGTCCAGAGAGCGTGAACATCACCGCGGCGAGAGTGCCGACTCGACGGGCTCAGCGACCATTGGATTTGGCGGCAGCAGTTCAGCGGCGGTCGTCGGCGGTATAGCAGCGACATCCAGTGGCGCCAGCAACAGTGTGGCCACCACCATGACCGGTAGCATGGGTAGCGGTGGTGGTGTTGGGGTGGTCGGTGTGACGCCCTATCGTGGTTTTCGCAGTCATTCGCCCACAAATCGACGCAGTCGCGAACGCAATCGTACCCATGCCCGTACACATGGTTCCGATCAGGGTGGTCTCTTGGCCTATGGGGCCATGGGTGGTGGTATACCATTGAGTGGTGTTGGTTTGGTGGGTGGTGATGTGGATGTGGCACTGGGTAGTACTGGTATCACCTCGGGTGGTGTTATAGACGATACACGGTTGTCAGGTAAAAACTGAAGAATGCGATTCCCCCACCTTAGATTACATTTCTGTTTGCCTCCCCTGCAGGTCTTGACGACATTTGCTATCAAAGCTTTGCCTCCGATGATCTGGATGCCGCCGGTGGTCCCGGCCATGGCGGTGAGACCAGCAGTGGTAGTAAAAAACATCACCGGCGCCATGAAAGAACCTCCAGTTTACAGGCCCTTGATCGGCTAAATACCAAAATTCAATGTACAAAGGAGTCGATACGTAAAGAACAGACTTCCCGAGATGGTAAGGAGTTGGAATTGGATTCCAAAAACAAAATAAAAATATTAACCAATTCCCATTTGTTTTTACAGATAACGTTAATGAATATCTCAAATTGGCCGCCAGTGCTGACAAACAGCAGTTGATACGGATAAAGGTGAGTGATATCTCAGTTTCAATGTTTCCCAAACGAAAAAGCCATTTAAGCAGACAAAAAAAAGGACTCCCAAAGGGAAACCCATTCAGTCAGGTTGAATAGAAGGTTTCCTAAAGGGATGCCCATTCAGCCAGGCTGAATAGAAGGTCTCCCGAAGGGATGCCCATTCAGCCAGGCTGAATAGAAAGTCTCCCAAAGGGATGCCCATTCAGCCAGGCTGAATAGAAGGTCTCCCAAAGGGATGCCCATTCAGCCAGGCTGAATAGAAGGTCTCCCAAAGGGATGCCCATTCAGCCACGCTGAATAGAAGGTCTTCCAAAGGAATGCTCATTGAGCCAGACTGAATAGAAGCTCTCCCAAAGGGATGACCATTCGGCCAAGAATAGAAGGTCTCCCAAAGGGATATCCATTCAGCCAGGCTTAATAGAAGTTATCCCAAAGGGAAGCTCATTCAGTTAGACTGAATGGAAGGTCTCCCAAAGGGATGCCCATTCAGCCAGGCTGAATAGAAGGTCTCCCAAAGGGATGCCTATTCAGCCAGGCTAAATAGAAGGTTTCCCAAAGAGATGTCCATTCAGCCAGGTTGAATAGAAGGTCTCTTAAGGGATACCCATTCAGCCAGGCTGAATAAAAAGTCTCCCAAAGGTATACCCATTCAGCCAAGCTAAATACAAGGTCTCCCAAAGGGATGTCCATTCAGCCAAGCTGAATACAAGGTCTCCCAAACGGATAACGCTCTATTCAGCCATGCTGAATAGCTTCTTCCCCAACGGAAAACAGACCTATTCAGGCAGGCTGAATAGAAGCTTTCCCAACGGAAAACAGTCCTATTTAGTCAGGCTGAATAGATGCTTTCCCATCGGATAACAGTCCAATTTTCCAGTGAAAACCACATTTAAATTTGATATGTTTTGTTTCAGGCCGTTTTTGAGAAAAAGAACCAAAAAAGCGCACACTCAATATCTCAACTGCAAAAGAAACTGGACAACTACACGAAGCGAGTGAAAGACCTACAGAATCAACAATATCAACACAAGTCACAGCATAGACAACCGCGTGAAGTCTTACGAGACGTGGGCCAAGGGTTAAGGTATGTAAACACTTCAATTCCTATGGAAAGTCTTGGACTCCAAAAAGGTTTCCATTAGAAAATCTTCAATTCAGCCTGGCTGAATGAGGTTACCATTGGGAAAACTTCAATTCAGCCTGGCTGAATGAGGTTTTCATTAGGAAAACTTCAATTCAGCCTGGCTGAATGAGGTTTTCATTAGGAAAACTTCAATTCAGCCTGGCTGAATGAGGTTTTCATTAGGAAAACTTCAATTCAGCCTGGCTGAATGAGGTTTTCATTAGGAAAACTTCAATTCAGCCTGGCTGAATGAGGTTTTCATTAGGAAAACTTCAATTCAGCCTGGCTGAATGAGGTTTTCATTAGGAAAACTTCAATTCAGCCTGGCTGAATGAGGTTTTCATTAGGAAACTTCAATTCAGCCTGGCTGAATGAGGTTTTCATTAGGAAAACTTCAATTCAGCCTGGCTGAATGAGGTTTTCATTAGGAAAACTTCAATTCAGCCTGGCTGAATGAGGTTTTCATTAGGAAAACTTCAATTCAGCCTGGCTGAATGAGGTTTTCATTAGGAAAACTTCAATTCAGCCTGGCTGAATGAGGTTTTCATTAGGAAAACTTCAATTCAGCCTGGCTGAATGAGGTTTTCATTAGGAAAACTTCAATTCAGCCTGGCTGAATGAGGTTTTCATTAGGAAAACTTCAATTCAGCCTGGCTGAATGAGGTTTTCATTAGGAAAACTTCAATTCAGCCTGGCTGAATGAGGTTTTCATTAGGAAAACTTCAATTCAGCCTGGCTGAATGAGGTTTTCATTAGGAAAACTTCAATTCAGCCTGGCTGAATGAGGTTTTCATTAGGAAAACTTCAATTCAGCCTGGCTGAATGAGGTTTTCATTAGGAAAACTTCAATTCAGCCTGGCTGAATGAGGTTTTCATTAGGAAAACTTCAATTCAGCCTGGCTGAATGAGGTTTTCATTAGGAAAACTTCAATTCAGCCTGGCTGAATGAGGTTTTCATTAGGAAAACTTCAATTCAGCCTGGCTGAATGAGGTTTTCATTAGGAAAACTTCAATTCAGCCTGGCTGAATGAGGTTTTCATTAGGAAAACTTCTATTCAGCCTGGCTGAATGAGGTTTTCATTAGGAAAACTTCTATTCAGCCTGGCTGAATGAGGTTTTCATTAGGAAAACTTCAATTCAGCCTGGCTGAATGAGGTTTTCATTAGGAAAACTTCAATTCAGCCTGGCTGAATGAGGTTTTCATTAGGAAAACTTCAATTCAGCCTGGCTGAATGAGGTTTTCATTAGGAAAACTTCAATTCAGCCTGGCTGAATGAGGTTTTCATTAGGAAAACTTCAATTCAGCCTGGCTGAATGAGGTTTTCATTAGGAAAACTTCAATTCAGCCTGGCTGAATGAGGTTTTCATTAGGAAAACTTCAATTCAGCCTGGCTGAATGAGGTTTTCATTAGGAAAACTTCAATTCAGCCTGCTGAATGAGGTTTTCATTAGGAAAACTTCAATTCAGCCTGGCTGAATGAGGTTTTCATTAGGAAAACTTCAATTCAGCCTGGCTGAATGAGGTTTTCATTAGGAAAACTTCAATTCAGCCTGGCTGAATGAGGTTTTCATTAGGAAAACTTCAATTCAGCCTGGCTGAATGAGGTTTTCATTAGGAAAACTTCAATTCAGCCTGGCTGAATGAGGTTTTCATTAGGAAAACTTCAATTCAGCCTGGCTGAATGAGGTTTCATTAGGAAATCTTCAATTCAGCCTGGCTGAATGATGTTTCCATTAGGAAATCTTCATTCAGCCTGGCTGAATGAGGTTTCCATTAGGAAATCTTCAATTCAGCCTGGCTGAATGAGGTTTCCATTAGGAAATCTTCAATTCAGCCTGGCTGAATGAGGTTTCCATTAGGAAATCTTCAATTCAGCCTGGCTGAATGAGGTTCCATTAGGAAATCTTCAATTCAGCCTGGCTGAATGAGGTTTCCATTAGGAAATCTTGAATTCAGCCTGGCTGAATGAGGTTTCCCATAGGAAAACTTCAATTCAGCCCGGCTGAATGAGGTTTCCCATAGGAAAACTTGAGTTCCGCCTGGCTGTTTTAATTGTGTTTTTGTTTTTTTCCTATTTTCCAGAAATGTTGGCGGCAATATCCGTGATGGTATTACCGGCTTTTCAGGGTCTGTCATGTCCAAGCCCCGGGAATTTGCACATTTGATTAAGAATAAATTTGGCAGTGCTGATAATATAAATCAAATGTCAGGTTGGTGTTGGAATTTTTCATCCAAGGGAACATAAATGAATCTAATTTCTTCATTTTTCAGAATCTGAATTGAATAACTTAAATATGCCTGCGAATCATGAAATGTTTGGTAGTTCAACGCCCAACACCGCCATACCAAATGCATCGACTGGATCTGGCGGTGGCGGCGGTATGCTTAATGCCGGTGGTGCTGGTAGCGGTAAATTCAATAGTGAGAATGGCAGTGAATGTAGCAGCGTCACCAGTGAGAGCATACCAGCGGGGTAAGAATTCAAAAGACAAATGATTTAAAGGAGAATGCATTTAAACTTATTTTCGTGTTTTTAGCTCTGGAAAAAGTCAATCGGGTGCCAGCCAATATCACATTGTATTGAAATCTCTTCTAACCGAATTGGCCGAACGTAAGGCTGAAATAGAAAAACTAACCGAACGTGTTGAACGACTGGAGGTGAGAGGCATTTCATTCTTTAATTTTTTCTGTTATAAAATTATTTAAAATTGATTCATTTTCTTTAAAGAATGCTCAAAAGGATTTTAATAACTTAACTGCAACACTGGAAGGTGAACGATATCGTGCTGAAAGTCTGGAGGAACAAATCAATGACCTGACGGAATTACATCAGGTACTACAATGTTTTTCTTACCACATTCTTTATCTCTAACATTTCGTTTTCTTCTTTTCTTGTAGAACGAAATTGAAAATTTGAAACAAACCATTGCCGACATGGAGGAAAAAGTCCAATATCAAAGTGATGAACGTCTACAGGATGTCAATGAAGTTTTAGAAAATTGTCAAACTAGAGTAGGTCTTCAAACATGGACTAATGGATATATAGACGAAGGAATGCTCCCACCGTTTATATTCGACAAAAAAATCAGATCAACAACAATTAATTGCAATTCTTGAAAAACAAAATAGGTTTTCACAGTCTCCAGTAGGACTATTGGCTCAAACAGCATGTTGAGTATGTAAAAAACGTGCTGAGAGCAATCAGGATAGCCATTCCACATTCTGTCGTCCATATATTCATTAGTCTATGCTTTAAGGTTGTGACGATTTATTTATTGGAAATTAATTTGTTCCCCTTCCTTCTTTTTCTAGATTTCCAAAATGGAACATTTATCCCAACAACAATACGTAACTGTTGAAGGTATCGATAACTCAAATGCCCGTGCTTTAGTTGTGAAATTAATTAATGTTGTCCTGACCATACTGCAAGTGGTACTGCTGCTGGTTGCCACAGCGGCGGGTATTATAATGCCGTTTTTGAAAACAAGGTAATAATGGGTTAATATTTTTTTTCGAAATCATGAAAAGTTCTGGAATTCGTCTATGAATAGAAGAAATCTAGAGGGTCTTAAACGGTTAAAGGCATCTTTAGAAGACGATATGTGATAAAATCTATACAAGGTCATCATGACTAGAAAATCTTTACCAAGTCTTTGGTGTTTTGAAGACATTTAGAATATCTTTTGTGCAAATAGAGCTTCTAGAGGATATTTTATGGCTGTAAGACCTCTGGAAGGTCTTTAATATTAACCTGTGGAGGATCTTCTACCTCTATATGATATTAAAAAAACGTTTGGTTTGAAAAAAAACCTATGATTAATATTCTTTGGTTACGTCTTCTATGCCCAACATAACTCTCTATTGTGTAGAAGGTCTTTACAAGAACTTCTATGTCCATAAGACTTTTAGAATATCTTCTGTGTCTAGAAGAGCTTCACAAAGTTTTTTGTTTTTGAAGACTTCAACAATTCCTTGCCTATAGGTCTATAAGATAGTCTATGTTTAGAAAACTTCCAGTGGCTCTTCTATGTCCAGAGGATCATAGAGGGTTTTCTACGTCTAGAAGATCTAAAGAGTTTCTCTAGATAGTCTTCTTTGCTCAGAATACTTTCGGAGAGTCTTTTTTCTCTAAGGGCTTTTATGTTTACAAGAGCTGTTGATGGTTTAAAGGACGTTTTGAACGTCCCTCCGTTTTTAACAGAACTCTCTATTGTACCGAAAATGTTTACAGGATTTTCTATGTCTAGGATATCTTAACAAGGTATCACATCTTAAGGAGCTTTACAAAGTTATTGGTATTTTGAAGATCTATAAGATATTCGATGGCTAAAACCGTGGATCTTCAATGTCAAAAAGATCTTTAATGGGTCTTCTATGTCTAGAAGAGATTAAAAAGTTTTGTTTGTTTTTGCTTCACAAAGTATTTTGCTTTTGAAGACTTCAACAATTCCTTGCCCATAGGTCTATAAGATATTCCATGTCTAGAAACCTTCCAGTGGCTCTTCTATGTCCAGAGGATCTTAGTGGGGTTTCTACGTCGAGAAGATCTAAAGAAGTTCTCTAGAAAGTCTTCTTTGCTCAGAATACTTTCGGAGAATCTTCTTTCTCTAAGGGCTTTTATGTTTAGAAGAGCTGTTGATGGTCTAAAGGACCTTTTGTTTAAACATCCCTCTGTTTTTAACAGAACTCTATTGTGCCGAAAATGTTTACAGGATTTTCTATGTCTAGGAGACTAGGAGACATAGCCTTCATATCTAGAGGGGCTTTACAAAGTTATTGGTATTTTAAAGACCTATAAGATATTCTATGCCTAAAAGCCTTTTAATGGGTCTTCAATGCCAAAAAGATCTTTAGAGGGTCTTCTATGTCTAGAGGACATTAAAAAGTTTTGTTTCGTCCAGAAGATTTCTAGGAAGTCTTAATGTCCAAATATCTTTTCTTTGTCAAGTAGACATGTGAAGGTATTCATTAAGTTAAATACTTCAGGAAGAACTGTTCATGAACTAGGTTCTATAGGCCATCTGGAAGATATTAAATGCCTAGAAGCCTTCCAAGGAATAATCTATGTCCACGAGATCAGGTCTCTCATGCTAAAAATACATTAAATAGTTTTTTTTTGTCTGGCAGGCCACTAGAAAGTCTTCTATCACAAAAATACCGCTGGAAGTTTGTCTTTGTTGAGCGGGATGACTTTTAAAGACTTCTATAATTCAACGCCTATATCCAGATGACTTGTAGGGTCTAGAATTTATTAAGTAGTTCTTTTCTATGTCCAGTATGCCTCTGGAAGTTCGTCATTGTCTGGCGAGCATTTTGGAGGTATTCAAAAAGCGAAAGTCCTCTATGTGAAGAAGAAATGTTGATTGTCTTCTTTGACTCTAATGCCTTTATATTTTTTAGAAGATTTGCCATCTATAATAGATCTTTAAAAGGTCTTGTGTGTCTAGAAAATCTTTTAAAGGTATTCTATGGCTGAAAGAATAGCAGAAAGTGGATGGTTTTTGTAAGGTTTTCTATAGCCGAAGAAGTCTACAAGATCTTCTAGATCTAGAGGACATTACGTGCCTGGAAATCATCTTGAAGATCTTTTATGTTCAGGAGATATTTTACGACCAGATGGTCTGGGAGATATTTTGCTAGCAGAAGCCCTTTTGAAGGGCATCCATGTCCAGAACACATTAAGCAGGACATTTTATGTCTGGACCTGTCTAAAGGGCCAGAAGGTGTCCTACGACTTGAAGCTCTCTAGAAGGGATGTCTAGAAGACTTGTACAACATATCTGATATCCAGAAGGTCCATTAAAAAAAAAAAAAACTAAAAATTCATAGACAGTCTAAGAAGGTTAAAGAATGTCGTATGCCTATATGACCTCTAGAATGCCTTCTGTAGCTAGAAAAACCCAGGAAGACTCAGGAAGAAAATTTCTAAAAGGTAGTCCTCTACGTGTAGAAAACATTCGATGTATAGAAACCCTATTAAAATATTCTACTAGAAGATATCTAGAAGGTCTTCCATGCTTGGAATACCCCTAAAATATATAGGTATAGGTCTCCAAGAGCTTTAGAAGGGTGTCAATGTCACGAAAACTTTACAAGTTATTTGATGTCTAGAAGACCTATTAAATCTAAAAAGGCAAAAAATCTAAAAAGGCATAAAAGGTCTTACAAGGCTTGAATGTCGTAAATGTCTAGAGGGCCCCTAGAAGGTCTTCTGTATGACGAAGAACTCAGGAAGTTCTTTATAGTGAGAAGATATCTAAAACCTCATCCTCTACATATAGAAGACATCCCGAAAGGTTTTTATGTTCCGAAGGCGTATTAAACTTATTCTGTATCAGAAGCCCCTTTAAAAATTCTTCTATTACTAGACATCTCTAGAAGCTCCTCTTGTATAACTGAGCTCTAAGAAGTCTTCCATGTTTATATAGCTTCTAGAGATAGATCTCCATAATTTATTTTCCATGCCAATAACTTTATACATATTATTATTTCTGATTTTTAATTGCTCCCCCTTTTCTCTTCTCTCTCCCTCTTTTTTCCAGAGTCCGTGTGCTGACAACGTTCTTATCGATATTCGTTATAATTTGTGTGATACGTCAATGGCCTGATGTTCAGGACATTGGCGCCGGTTTACTGCGTCATTTAAAACAGTCTTTGGTTGTTAAATAGATATATATTTATATACCTATACCTAACTAAATATATATTTTATTGTATATGTAAATATAGAAGAGAACCCCCGATAAACAATTCTTAACTATTACTATTATTACTATTACAATTAATATTAAATAAATTACAACTACAACTATTATTATTTAATTTAATTATAATTATTATTATTTTTAAATGAGAAAAAAGTGTGTGTAATAATTAATTAACTATTAATTTTTAAACTTTGTATAATGCATTAGAAAATCGATCTATGTAAACTTTAGCTTAAAACTCTATTTATATTTATATAAAAAGAAAAAAAAAAAACAAAAACAACAAAACAAACTATGGAAATAGAAAACTATATTTGTAATAAAATAAACGAAAAAAGAATACAAAAAAAAAAAAAAACATTTTTAGGCCTTATCCCTTCCAAAACGAAACAACCAAACAATGAACCTATTTATGGAATATTAAAAATGTGAAATGAACCATTTTTCGACAGCAAAAAAAAAATACCCTTAGAAATTTATTAAAACAAAATTTAAATTAGGATTAGGAAGATAATTTGTAGTTTAAATTGCCCTTTTTAATTAGCAAACATGAAAAGCAATGGGCAGAAAGGTGCAGGGTCTAAAGCTATTTTGTAGATAAAGTTTTTTTTCTTTGGGAATATATGAAACTGAAAGTTAACCATTTCTCTGTTCCAGTACCTGCAAGAATCTACTAGATTTGCAGTTTTCTTCGATATAATAAAGGGAAAATCGACGAACATATACTGTTCAAGCTAACAAATATACCAAGGGTATTTAATGGCTAAACAGCAACAGTGGTTAAAGTTAATAGTTTAAAAATTTAAAAATACTCTGTTCTCTAATAAGTTATTGACAATCCATTGATAGTACCAGAGATCCAGGTTTTACTCGCAATTGAGCAGGATTACTCCTGCGAGTAAGAAAGAAATACTTTTCTATGTCACTCGAATAAGAGAGATAAGAGAACACTATTTTTTTCAAACCGGAGCACTTATGGATACTAAATAAAAGAGGGGAGAGTAAAACTTGGAATCTTCCAGAAATCTGGCTCGTGAGGTTTTTATACCCTCCACCATACTTAGAATGGAGGGTATCTGAAAATAGGAAGTTAGAAATTATTACAGATCAGTCTTTTGTCTACAGGTACGTTAATTTCGAAGATGAGCTATATCGGTCCACGATATCGTATAGCCCCCATAAAACGGTACCCCCGATATTCGTTATTTTGAAATTCTAAACAAGGAGTACTATGTGAGCATTTTACCCCTTGGAAGAGAATTCACTACCGACTTAAACCAAGCTTTTTAAAATACCAAATTTAAATTCCGTGGCTCGGCCAACTGGGAATCAAGTGGGGTGGTAACATAATGGAGCTATAGAATCGGTTCATAGGGTCTATTATAATTAGAAGGCTTCTGGAGGACGTACCTATGTAAAGGACTTCCTTGATGTCTTCTATTCAGTGAAGTTCTTTAAAAGGCGTTCTATACATAGAGGAACTTATAGAGGCCCTCCGGATATCTACTGCCATACATAGGAGGTCCACTAGAGGAATTCAGAAGGGTTTTGAAAAATATCTTAAGAAAATCTTCTGTCTATAGAGGACTTTTAGAAAGAAAAAAGTAATTTTTCGTCTAGCAGGCCACTGGAATATCGCTGGAAGTTCGTCTTTGTTGAGCGGGAAGACTTTTGAAGACTTCTACAATTCTACGCCTATATCCACTGACTTTCTTTTCGATCCTTGTATAGAAAGTCTTCAGGAACTATTCAATCTATAGAAACCATTCGTGAGGTTTTCGATTTATGGACGAATATCAAAAGGTCTCGTAACTTTATAACCCCTTTTAACTAAAGATGGCCACCAAGAGGATATCCTGCCTTTATTTTGTCAAAACTTCAGAATATTATCTGTCTTTTAATCTTCTGTCTATAGAGACCCTTAAAGTCACTCTTCCCTAGAAACACTATTGTCTATGAATGGAAGAGGATGTCTATGGACTTTTATTGAACTATTTTCTAAAGGTAGGTATGTGTATGCTGATACCGGAAGAAATTTTTTTGTGGTGAACGGAACCGGATACCCAGATATTTGATCTATTAAATGGATATAGGCAATATGGGTTTTGTAAAGTCTACGAGTGTCATATATAATTTGTTATTTTACGGACCCGCTTTTTCGATTTTTTTGGGGGATTTATACAAAATTCGAGTCGGTAGATTAGTGTTCAAATGGCCTTTATTTGTGCAGATATTGGTTTAGTAGTTCCCGCATGACTCAGGACTTTCGAGTATCTGTGTCCATTCCGAAATCAGAGTACAAATACCTACCCCTTAAGAATTTAAAAAAAAAACTCGAGTTTGTTTCATGTGAAACAGTTTCGAAACAGCCTAACTGGTAAAATAAATGCTTTCCAGTGGTAGGTATGTTTACTCTGATTCCGGGAAACTATTTTTTCTTGGAGGACGGACCCGGGACCCCAGATTTTTGATTCGAAAGTCTGGGTTCAATACCAATACAGACAATATAGGTATCGTTGAAAAGCTTATAAAAATAATACCTATCCATGTTAGTTACATGTTGTTATTTGAAGCGGTTCGAAAGTTATAGTTAAATCTGGGTCCCGGGTCCGTCCCTCAAAAAAAAGGTTCCCAGAATCAGGGTTAAAATCCCTACCTTTAGAAAGGATTTCGAAAAAATCAAAGAGATTTTACTAAACTAGATTTGTTCCAACATCTAAATTTTCCAGCGCCTCCCAACACCAGCGTATGCCCATTCTTTAGGGAAAACGTAAGTCAATTGTTTGAATTTTTCGATATTTGACTTCAAAGAAATTTTTTTTCTATCTTTCGACTTTGACGTATCAGCTAAAAATCCATTTTGACATTTACATTTTATTTGGATGGCATTTTAAAATAAACTGACTGGCTTAAGTCAATCGGAGTCTTCGGAAAAGAAAAAAAGAGCATAGGCCAAAAATTGGAACTCCTTTGTTCCTCTACGAAGAACCCAGCCAACGACTTAAGCCAGTCAAAACAGCGTTTTATGTATTCCGACCTTAAATCTTATTTTTTTTTTTTGCTTGTCATGATCCGGTAGTCCCAGGGTAGAGGCTGAATACAGATCCTGTGATACTTTTAGAACTTTATTTACTTTTAATTCCCGCAACCATATTTGCAGATTTTAGCAGACCCTTGACTTTTCTGCCCATCTGATAAACAAAAAAGCAAATCTCTGCCGAAAGATAGGTAAAAGAGAACTCCTATATCCTCTTGTCTCCTCCAAATTTTCTAAACTATAGTACTAGTCTTTTAGATTTGATAAATGTATATATAAATTTTAATTTATTTTGTTTTTTTGTAAATAGAACATATATTTATACATAAATGAATATGGAACAAAATTTCATTTTTCAAAATTTTGTTTTAAAAAAAAAAAATATTTTTGGAAAAGTAAAATAAATTGGCATTTTTTTCTTTTAATTTTTATATAAATGCAAATATTCATAGTTTAAAATATATGAAAAAAAATCAAAGAATAAATATTTATATTTCTATGAAAAAAAAAACAACAACAAAATTCCTATTAGAATTTCTTGAAGAGTGGACTGCTGTATTTCATATAAAATATATTTATAAATAAAAAATAAAGAAACTACTTTAGTTTGCAAAATATATAGTTGTTAATAATTATAGAAAAACAAATAAATACAAAACATCACTTATTTTGAAGAAAGAAAAATTAAATACAAAAAGATAAATTTTCAAATAAAAAAATTTTAATTTTGTTTATTGAAATTGAAACGAAATAAATAATGGTAAAAATAAGGTCAAGTGTTTTATTATTTTTTTTTTAATATGGAATGAGAAATAGAGTGGAATCGATTTGGCTTAGACAGAACTTAAATAAACCATAAGAGATTTTCTACTAAAAAAACTAGTATTGTTCTAAAGAATTAATAACTCTATTTCAAGATAAATATTATCCAACCTAGAGTACTTACCTTCTTCTTCTAAAAATTACATCTAAAACTCTGTTTTTTTTTTGTTTTTCCTTTTTTTTTTATTTTGAGAAAATGTTTTCTTTTGCGTTTTATATATAATTTCTTTTTGTTGGTTTGTTTTATGCTTTTCTTTGTTATTGATTTCATTTTTATGCGTTTTTTAAACGTTGTACATCAAACTAAGCAGTTGTTTTTTGTTTTTTTTTTGGTTTTTATTTTTTTTTTTTAATTTGAAATATATTTGCCTCAGCTTGTCAATAATAATAATACCTTTGTTCTTTGTTCTTGTCTATTAAGCGATTGCTAAATATATATAAATATTTGATTTTTTTTCTTCATTTGTATATAGAAGTGTATATAGATGTATATGCATTTTTTGTTTGTTATTTGTGTAGATATATATGTGTATTTGCTGGTTAAACAAATTTGCAATGGCAATTTTTTCAATTACTTGAAAGTGTTTTATTTTCATTTTTTTGAGGATGGTTATTTTTTTGGGAATTCCTTCTTTACAGACAGAAAAAAATGCTTTAAATGCTATAAATATTTTTTTGTTATATATATTTTTGCTCTTTGTTTTTATGTTTTTTTTTTTTATTTTTATATGTGATTTACAATTTCTTCTTTTAATATTTTCTTTTAATATTTTTATTGGAAAATTATATGTAAATGCAATTTTAAAATTAAATATAAATAAAAAACAAAAATTAAGAAACCGATGCCGAACATTACAGATTTTATAGTTTTTTTATAGGTATATGGAACGTCAACAGGTATTTTTGCCCAAAAAGACAATTTCTTATTTTTACAAATGTACCTGTTTCTGAAGTTATCCTCTGAAAGTGATCTATTGTAGTAATACATAAATCGTCCTATGGATGAAAAGTCTAAAAATCGAAATCCACTTTTCGACGGTTACGGAGTGAGTACGTAAACAGTTCGCATGGCATATTTTCTGACATATTATAAAGGGATTCCTGAGCCCCACACGAATCCTGCCGTCGTTTCCATTATATATTGACATATGCCTAGGGTTCAAGATTTGAAAAACTAAACGCTCAAAGAAAGCGAAATAAGCACCCAACTCTTTTCAAAATTCACCCATACAAAGAAAAAGATCTATTGTGAAGATGATATATATCTGCGGACCCCTTCTGGTACCTCACGCACAAAGATTCATAATTTTCAATACTTTTATCTGTCATAAGTTGCGAAATAAGTCAGTCAATTCTTTACAATTTGCAATATCTAAATATTTCTCATAAGCAGAAACCCGAGAAGAATATCGGAATTTATAATTTCGCATAAAATTGGAAATAAATGTCCGATTTTCTTGCCCATGCCATCTGTCTTTGTATTAGATGAAGCATGAAAA